AGCGAAACAGTAAAGACAGTGAGTGAAAACTTTAGCTTTAAATCAGGTAGTGAGTACACAGAGAGTGTGCTTCAGAAGCACGTGAAGATTATACTATGAAATAACAGGTTATCTATAAGCTTTTAATTAGATATCTATGCAGATAAGCTACACAAAACACCACTGTGTGTTGGAACAGGAACAGGAAGTGATACTCTAGCGCAGAGAGAGCGAACACCACCAATTTAATTTACACAGTGAGGTTTGGGCACCAAATGTTTGAGTCTGCTTGTTTACTCTAAAAATCTAATATTTCATAAACGTGGATTTTTGATCTGTGCCGGGTTGAAAGTCTCACTTTAACTCAGACACTAAGTCCCGTCTCCTCAACTGCAGCACGGACATTTTGGTTTCAACATATTTGCTTCCACATCACATGTGACATGTTTGTACAAACATCTTTGATATTAACGTTTGTGATTTTCTTCTGTTGCTTCTTCTTTTATATCATTGTAAAAGGAGATTAACACAAACTGTTTCCTCAACCTAACCAATGATGTTTAAATCAGACTAAATAAAACTCAGAAGATAATGGATCCATGTGAGAGTTAAACTCCAGTTTTCTGGTTGAAGTCTCGCAGATTTATCATCATCTCGACTTCGTCGGTTAAACTGTTAGTGCGCGACGGTAAACAGGGTCAACACTAAAAACAACCCACAGACGGATCTAGAGTCCACGCTAATACTACCTGATGCTGTCACACACACATCTGACAATCCTAGTTCCTGATTGGTCTAACCTCTCGGTGGTCAACGGTAATAACACCCCCCCAAATCCTGACGGACACAGTTCCCTCACCCGACTCTGCAGCTTACAGATTGCAGGAGTGCATAAAACGGAGCAGTTTGGGGTCATTATTTTTGTTACTGTTACCATCATGACTGGTGCACATAACTTGGTTTCTCAGTGCTTATAGTAACTTGAGATTCATTTATTGAGTTTATTTCATTGTCCTGACTGTAGTCTGGGCACCTGGCTGATTAACATACAGGTGGCCGCATGTCTGTTTTTGGTGTTTGTCTTGATTTTGTCATCTTTACTGAAAAACTAACATTTTGTAGTTTGTTTGTTTTTTAATCAGTTACAGACTTTAAAGGAACAGAGTATCTACGGGTCCTCAAAAAGCAACAGAAGGTCATAAACATCATCTTAAATTCAGTTTGCATGGCTCTGAAATGCTTTCAGTCACTTTATTTAAATCAAAAGATTTACAGCTCGATTGGCTGTGATTTAAAAGAGGTGATGGTAACAGTTGGCTAATAAGATCCGTTAGCTAACCATTGTTGCTCACATCAAATAAAAACATTAATATATAAAAATGCCCAGGTGACTTACACCCAGCAGGCCTCCGGGTTAACAATGCGACAGTGAAGATGATGAAGGAGGCCACGTTAGCTTTTACGTCTATAAAACGTTTCTACTCTAACTCAGGACTCACAGTGTGTTTTTTAATCACAGGCCTACCTACGTTCACTCTCACACTCCAGTGGAGGCATCAGGGGTCACTCGAGGTTCAGCGTTTTGCCCAAGGACGCTTTGCACACAACCCACTCGACCCTCTGATCCCCCTCTGCCCCCAAAGCACAACAACCAATGACAGCAAGCATAACTCGGAATAAAGGTGGAAAAATGCTAACAAGGCAAACTTTGCTGTGTGTGGATGCTATTTCAAATTTACTGATTTAATTTAAACTCAGACCACTGAAAAAGTGTAATATTGATCTCATTCACTGAGTTTGTTCTTAAATTTCACTTTTAACAGTGTAAAAAAACAAGCGTTAAACTTATCCACAGGTATGAGATATGTGGATATAAAAGGAAAAATAACAATACTGTAAATCTACTGTGATCCGGAGATGGCTCAGGCTAAATGCTGGACTATCATAATATCACTATTACGATTATTGTGGCAAAAATAATTCATGATAAATGTATTTTTACAATATCACAATAATTAAAACATATAAACTGCTTTGTTGTGTTGTGTCTCGTTTTGTGTTGTTTGTAACAAAAAAGAAAAAATTACATGTTATTACTGTGTATTAATAATGTTTAATTTATAATAATAAAAGTTTAGTAAAGTGAGGATTAACTTTACAAAAGTGTACAAAAAGAAGAATGACTATTATTTTTTTTAAAACATCACAATACAAAAAGAATTTACAAAAACATTATTGTGATTTTTTTTTTAGTGCAAAAGTCAAATTCATCTTTAACTTCATTGTTTGTGTCTAATTTGGAACAAAAACCCTCCAAAAACAAATAAAAAGAATTCACAGCAACAACATTATTGTTTGTGTTATAAAAAATTATCTTCAAAATTAGATTTTTATCTTAAACCTGAAACGTCTTTACCAATAACAATAACACGACACTACAATTATTGCAAAATAACTTATTCTAATGATATTATTGTGACACAAAATATCACCGTAGTGTTAATCTTTACCTTTATTATGTGTGTTTTTTCTCCGTTTGTTTTGGAAAAGTGTAACACTACAAAAAGTCACAATAATTTTATAAGGTCGTCTCAGTAAAGCCGACATTTAATCCCTTTAAACAAATGTTATTCTGTTAACCTGCTGAGCTTCATTCTTTTCTCCATTATAATAATTTTGATATTGTTCAGTGAATTTCAGGTTCTGAGAAAATAAAATGTTTCACAGCTGCAAAAATAAACACAAAGATTAGAATCTACATTTACACTCACGTCTGAATTCTGTTACATTTTTATTTTAAACATCCATAAAACACTAAATCTGCTTTAATCAAACTCCCATTTACATTTGAATTTCCTCTCATTTTAGTCTTTTTTTTCTGAGTACAGCTGAATGAGTGGCTGAACACACACACACACATCATGTGACTTTCGACTCAGCAAAGCCCAGGCTGTGTGTAAACTGACTGGATGCACTTTTTCAGACTGAACTCAAACAACAGAGAAGAAAACAAATCATAAAGCAGCTGAAATAAACCTGGAATCATCAAATCATGAAAACTGGCCTGTTCAAAGTAAAAGTTATGGAGCTAAAGAGTCAGTTTGAAAACCCTCCTGTTGACATCAGTGTTAACACAGAGCTGTGAAGGAGCCTCCGCGCAGCCGAGAAAACAGAAGAAAGAAATGTATAAATATGTGAGTGTGAAGGCCAAACGTTCAAAATGAAAGAGGTAGAAAGACACAATAATATTATTAATGACCATATATCTATATATATATTTATCTATATATAAAATTATCTATATTACTGCAAGTAAACCTGTTTTTTTCAGACTTTATGCACAAAACGTTAAACATTTCTGGAAAAACTGTGGGGACAAAAAAATCATAGAAACATAAATTAGGCCAATAAACAGGCCTCATAATAACCCTAAAGGAACCAAAACGGTCAAATAAGTCACAATACAACTAAAAACTGCAGTTAGCATGACTAAATCATTTATCAAATAATCAATTTAATACTAATATCAAATAAAAATATCTTCCAAAAGCTCCCATGTGATAAATGCACACCTGACTTATGATTTAGTAAATAAAAATATAAAAAATAAATAAAATATGCAATTCACTATGGAGCAAATCAAAGTCTCATAAAAGTTTAAAGAAATGAAAAACAATAAAAAACAGCACGTCAACTGAAACAGAAATTCATTCACAGCCTCAGTGACGCGTCTGTGTGCGCACTTTGAATAAAAACTTATTGCTTTGTGATGTTTGCACACATCATCAGGCAGAAACTCTGCTTCAGGTTATTTCATCCTTTTTAATCAAGTTTAGTTTCTCTGGAAAAATAAAACACAGACAGCAAAGAAACAGACATTACAGACTTTGTACAACTGAGTGATGTCTAACTACAAAAGTGCAAAAAAAGAATAAAAACCAAACAAATCCCCAAAAATCAAAAACAATTTTTACAAACCCAGAATGAAAAAAGTGACAGAGAGAAAAACCGAGCCGACAGTTTCCCCCGAAGTTTCCCCACAGACAGACCTGCAGTGTGTGTGTGTGTGTGTGTGTGTGTGTGTGTGTGTGTGTGTGTGTGTGTGTGTGTGAAGGTCAGCGTCTTCTGAGCTGCATGAGGCTTTTATTTCACCGAGGTTACATAAGTTTATATGTTTGCACTGTAAAAAGTAACAATAAAAAACAAAGTTGGCGATGTGGGGGGGGGGGGGGGGGGGGGTGGCTTCCTGTTTCCTGTGTGCGCACTCAGTTGTTTGAAGGATCCAACCTGCAGCTCATTTACACTCAAAATTCTAAATTCTGTTTATTTTACAATAAAAGCCCAGATGTGAAACATTATGATCCATATGTTTGCTTCCTGTTTTGAAACGTTCTCACTTGGATTTATTTCCTTTTTTTCTCTCTTTTCTGAAATTAACACCACGTTTATATTCGACTTTTAAAATGATCACAAGCATTTTGTTGCATTTTATTTTTGAAAAGCTGCTTTTACTTGGATCCACCTGAGATCTGAGGATCAATACCACAGTGATCGGGACTGATTGTCAAACGCTGCTCACGTTTAAAGTGAAGAATCGGCGGTTAGATTAAAAATAATTTCTCTTGATTAAAAATGTTTAAAAGTGTCAAACTCGCTCCTTTTTTCCTTTTGTTGGTTTACGTTGTTTTATTTTGTGAGCTAAAATATTTTAGAAACATATTTACTGAGGAAATTGAATCAAATCACATCTGTATATAATAATACGTCCACGTGGCTCCGGTGGAAAGACATTAGCTTTTCTTTTTTTTTTAAATATAAAAAAGTCATAAAGAATAAAAATTTGGACCATGTGTTCGACTAAAGTCACAAAAAATACTTTAAAATATTTTTCCAAATAACAAAAATGTGCAAAAACCTGGATTTTAATATATAAAGTTTTTTACATTTATTTTCCACATCAGCTTTTATTTTCACTAAAGCCTCCCTGTAGCGTGTGTGTGTGTGTGTGTGTGTGTGTGTGTGTGTGTGTGTGTGTGTGTGTGTGTGTGTGTGTGTGTGTGTCATCTTAAATGTTAAATATATGCCCCTCCCTTCCTGCTGAGGTCAGCTGACACATGAGAAACTTTCTGATGACTTTATTTCTCCGCAGAATATTTTAAAAAAAAATAAGTTGCATATATATGATTTCAGTTGGCCTGAAGCATCTCCAGTTTCATTGATTGTCATGCACGTTTTTAACTCTTCCCACGCCTCCGACTCCTCTGACTATTAAATTATTCGTTTTTTTAATGGCTGTCTCCTAAAGGTAACATAAAGTGACTCCATGGCTGTGAGGACGCTCTGATTTTCGTTCATTTCATTATTTTAAACTCTTCTCTAATCAAAAAGAAAAAAAACATTAGAAAAGGAAAAAATCTGGTGAAAAAAGTTTTTCATATGACCAAAGCTACATGTAAATAGGCCTTTATGTGTGTGCGTGTGTGTGTGAGGGCCTGATGCTTGTTGGAGCCCCTTAAAAGGAAAGAAAATAGTCCCAGCAGCAGCACAGAGGCCACAAGCCTCCGCGGGTCACTTAAAAATGTTCTCCAGGAACCAGAGCGGGTCAGCGGGCCAGAAAAAAAGCGAGAAGACGGCAGAGAAAGTTAAAAGAAGAAGAAGAGGGGCTGTGCGGCGGCTCTGAGCGCACATGCGCAGGAGCTTTTACGCTCATTCAGGCCTTTACGCACAAACACACACACACAGCAAAATAAACGGAGTGAACAGTCTGCGTGTTGATGCTGAACAAAAAAACGTGTTTGCATAATTACAGCTGAAGAGTTTGTTCCAAAAACATTTACACACTTTTCTGGATTTAGTGATCACGAAGGCCGAAAAATACATCGAATTATTTTTGGAAGGAAACTCTTCACACAGAGCGGCTTTAACACCATTATTTAATCGCATTGTTCTAATTCAGAGGTCAAACCTGAGATATGATTTGTAGGCTTCTGCTTCCTCTCAAAAACCCTGATCGTTTCCAATTTTAAGGCTTTGTTCACGTGTTTTTCCTCCCAGTAAAACACAAAATAAAAGTTTTGATTGTCTCGTTTTTTTCCTCCTCGATTGTCTCAAAATTCATAAATAATTATTAACCCTGTCGTATTTCCAGCCCCACCCCTCGTTTTCTTAATACTGAAGCGCAAACACTGACGAATAGAATTTAAATACAATAAATACAAAACATAAATAAACGACAAACAAAGTACTGAAAATCTTTGTACAAGATATAAATAGTTTGAAATATACTTATAGTGTTACCTTTGGCAAGTCTAGTTTACAGTTGGACGACCGGCGGTAACAAAAGTTTCTCCCTTTTAAAGTAAAGATGAAGCCGAGCTGTGCATCGCACTCCGTGTGGCCAGAAGTCTCGCTTCATTTATGGATTCATACACACATTTCTGATGTTTACCACTTTCTATTTGCCCTTAACGTGACGTCTGTGCGTCCTCGTCCCGGCGCAGTCCACGAAGCCAGGGTGTGTGGGTGTGTGTGCGTGGGGGGGTCAGTTTAGGAACGCGTTAGGGGTCACCCTCTTTTGGTGGGACAGCACCCCGGGGAACCCCGCGGACACACCGGGGGAGAAGGCCGGTAGCGAGCTGTTTCTGAGCGAGTCCGAGAGCAGCGCCTGTGGGGAGCCGCCGAAGCCCGGAGCGCCCTGCGGGAGGTGAGGAGGCGGCGGAGGAGCCGCGGGCGGCGGGCCGCCTCCCCCCCCCGGCGGGGCCGCCGAGTGCTGGCTCCCTGACACGAAGTATCCTGGCTGACCGGACAGCAGCCCGACCGGCGACGAGCTCATCCCGTAACTGTTCGTCAGGCCCAGCGGCAGCGAGCGGCCCAGCTCCCCGTTACTCAGCTGCTCCACGGCGGGCAGCAGCGAGCCGTAGCCGGCCGCCTGGTTCAGGAAGCCGGCGGACGAGCCGTTGTAGTGCGGGTGATGGTGGTGGTGGTGCAGGGACAGGAACGGGGACAGCTGCCAGTACAGCGGGTTGCTGCTCCGCTCGTTGATGCCCAGCCCGAGAGGAGCGAAGCGCAACCCGCGCTTCATCGCCAGCTTGCCCCGAGAGGTGGCGGAGCGCCGGCGGAGCTTCCCGGTGGTCCCGCCGATGAACACGTCGTCGCTGCTCGGGTCCAGCATCCAGTAGTTGCCCTTGCCCGGGTCGTCGTAGTGCCGAGGCACCTTGACGAAGCACTTATTGAGGCTGAGGTTGTGCCGGATGGAGTTCTGCCAGCCCTGCTTGTGCTCTCGGTAGTACGGGAAGTTTTTCATGATGAACTCGTAGATGCCGTTGAGCGTGAGCCGCTTCTCGGGGCTCTGCCGGATGGCCATCATGATCAGCGCGTTGTAGCTGAACGGAGGCTTGTCATACTTCCCGTTTTTGCCGCCGCCGGTGTTCTGCTCCGGTGTCGCCTTGCCGCCGTCCCCTCCTCCGCCTCCCCCTCCGTCCCCCTCCTCTTCCTCCGGCTCCTCCTTGCCAGGTTTCTCCGGCTCTAGAAGCGTGGAGGCCGCAGAGTCCACCTCCGGGGGGTCCAGAGACTTCTCGCAGTCGGAGCCCGGGGAGAGACACGGGGCTCCGTGGATCGCGACCGTCGCGGAGTCCGCACGCTCGCACTTGGAGGGCAGCAGGAGGCTCTTGATGCTGAAGGAGGAGGACCGGTGCACGGTCGGCGGGTCTTTTACATCCTCCATGCCCGGTGGCGGCTCTCCCGACAAAACCAGGAATAAATAATAAAAAAAAATGAACAACCACAACAACAACTCCGAGGTCCTCCACCTCCGTGATCCGAGAGAGAGACAGAGAGGAGAGAGAAAGGAGGCTCAGGATGAGAGACGCATGGATGGAGAGAGAGAGAGAGAGGGAGGGAGGGAGAGAGAGGGAGAGAGCGTGGCGTGGATGTGGAGAAATTAGTAATTAAGGAGGTTCCGACGACATCACGGAGAGGAGGAGCTTCTCCAACTTGGTGATTTTGTCAACAAATCCTCTTTTCTCCTCCTCTCGCTCTCCGCGCGCCTCCGTCTCCAAACCTCCGACCTTTCCTGTCTCGAGCCTCACAAACCTGTCACTTCATCTGCTCCCCTTTAATCTCTCTCTCCCCATCGTTCCATATTTACGCGCGCGCGCACAGTTCCCTCCACCTCTTGTGTGTGCGCCAAGCCCGTGCGTAAAAGCGCACGTCCGCTTATGGGTGTGCGCGTGCGTAAAAGCGCACGGGCAGTCGGGGCTTTGTTTTCTCGGCGACAATAATAGTTTGAATTCATGTCGGCAAACATGGCGCGTGCACGCACAGTGTGTGTTTGCGCGCGTGCGTCTGTGTGTTTGGGGATGGAGAGGAGGAGGGCACCGAGAGAAGCGCCATTGTCTCCTAATAAAAATCATCGTGTCGGCAGTAACACGCACACACAGCAGAGGCGGCGGGTCTCACGCTGGAGCCAGAGCGCCTCCTGTCGGCAGCAGGCGGGACTGATCCATGTGAACAGTTGCTTCCGGTGTCAGTTTGTGTGCAGCAGACAGAGCAGTTTGAGCGACCATCAGAGGGGAGATTTAAAAAGAACGCACTGAATTTACCTTCTCAGTTTACAGGTCATTACATGCAAAACACTTTATTCAAACAAGCTGTCAACATGTAAAAATAATTTACAATTTCAGACATTTTCACTCTTGTGAAGCATTTTTAACAACAAAGATCGGTTCTCCATTTAATTTTTTAAACTACGCCCCTGCAATATTTGGAATTTCCTAAAGCAGAAACTCTTTTCACACAGAAGGTTGTTCTTTTTTAGGGTTTTTAAAATAACATTTCTATAGTAGACAGTGGGGAAAAAATGTAATTGTTTATTAAGTACTTATTTCTTTGGTAAAGTATGTGTGGCTGTGGAGGAGACATTTGTCAGCAGGAAAACTCATAGGAATACAGTTAAAAGTCCAAAAGCTTTCCTAAACATTTTCCAAAGCGCTCCGGTTGTGTCTTTGCCCGGCTCATTCTGGGCCCCGGGCCTTATATTTTGCACCCTAGTGTCCACTGGGTCAGACTGGAAACTTTGGCACGTTTGTTGAAGCCTGCCTGCATCGGTGGTGTCTAACATGTGGCTCTGGAGCCAGATTCCGGCCCAGCTGATCGTTTTTTAAGTGTTTTTGTTGTTTGAGTCCAGCTTTTGTTTTGGGGTGTTTTGTTTTGTTTTTTTGTCGTTGAGGTTTTTGCTCCCTGTGTTTTTATTGGCCGCCAGTTCCTGCTTCTTGTGTTTTTTGTTCTTTGCAGTCATCAGGATGTTTTAATGGTATGACTGCAGACTAGCAGAGCGTATGGTGACAGTAAAGCTTATCTTATCTCTTCTTCGTCCTCTTGCTTTATTTTGATCATGCTTTTGTCCGTGTGTCTCTCGTGCTTCTACTTCCTGTCTTTCGTTTCACCTTTTGTTTTTCTGGTCCACATTCCAGCCTCTCAGCAGACTTAATCCATCAGTCCAGCTTGAAAGAACTTGTAGTGAATTTGTTCCCCTCAGTTGAAGGAGCTGATCCCAATTTGACCCCCTCTGACTCCTGCAGTGACTGAACCTGATCTTTACTATGCTCATTATCTCATATGTACATTTGTGGACTTATTCTGTGTGTTTGTGTGTTATTAGTCTTTGTAACCGCTCCTGGTTGAACTGTTATAAGAGATTTTTAGTCTGTGTCGGCTCTCAGTCACCAGGATCGTGGGAAAAGGCAGCTGGAGGACTTCTTTTGTTCCCGAGGATGTTTGCCTCTCATCCAGAAGTTTTCTTCAGTTCTAAAGAGTCCCGAGTCTTTAACTCCTGTGTGAGGTGGTCCGAGGGTCTTTGAATTAACATTAATCATGTGAGTGGTCACATGAGCCAAAGTGTGAAACAAGGCTTTTAATCTGAGGGGTTGTATAATTGTGTTACCGTCTGTGCCAGCTTCACTACACAGGAGACATTTAAAGATCAAAAACAGTTATTTGAATCATAAAGATGTAAAATATTAATCAGTTACAGAAACTCGATATGTGAAGGTTTTTGTGCCTTTCTCTGTGATCTGTGAGGAACTAAAACGAGTTGGACAATCCTGCTTCAAACTCTAAACACAAAAACTAAACCTGCACAGCAGAAGGCCCCGTGGCTTGTGGAATCGGGATCGGGAATAAATCTGTTCAGAGCTCTGTGCTCAGAACAGATGGAATACATAAAAAGTGATGGCACAAGAATTTTGTGTTTTAAATAAATGTAAATATATATTTTTGCAGCAAACACAGAAACACACACAGATCACAACACCACACCTACAGCCAAAAAACGCAATAAAAAAAAGCAAAATTGTTAATTTAAGAAAAATAAGTAACATCAGGTTAAAAGACAAAAGTTGCACCACATTTAAAAAATACTTTTGCTTTAAGTGCTCAGTACTTATAAAAGATGTGTTAAAGTCACGCGCATCCACAGGACCAAACATCTAATGATGCACATCAAAGTAAAGAAGCTCTGCTTATGTTTGAGTTAAATGGATTTTTCAAGTTCTATCGTAAAATTGACACGTTTTGTAGACGGACTCGGGCGCAGACCAGGAGACCTTTGCAAAAACTGACAGTGCGTTTATTTACAGTGATGTCACCAGGTCTACGCAAAGTGTTCGGGAGAGCGGTCCGAGGGGAAGGGTCCGAAAACACACCCCACTCTCTCAGCAACGATCCCACTCCTTTTCCTCCAACGCTCCTCTCGCTCACTCAAAGATACAGGGACGGGTCCAGGGAAGATCCACGCACGCACGCACACACACACACACACACACACACACACACACACACACACACACACACACACACACACACACACACAGAAAAATCCAATTAGCACGAGGTCGCATGAAGACCAACAGACTCAGACTTGCTGATCACAGAATAACTGATGCTGGTGGCTCAATGTTCCAGTGATGAGTAGCGTAGGTCTGCCATCCTAAGAAGCCCTTCTGATTGTAGCAATCAGCGACAGGCAGTGTTGGGGAGTAACGGAATACATGTACCGCCGTTACGTATTTAGAATACAAAATATGAGTAACTGTATTCCGTTACAGTTACCGTTTAAAAAGGTGGTATTCAGAATACAGTTACTTTGTTGAAATAAATGGATTACACTGCGGTACTTTCCTGTTTCATATTGTCGCGGGTCAGGACTGTTTGGGTTTTGTTTGACAGCTACGTTCTGTTGTTCCAGGCGGCAGCGTTATGGTTGCCATGGTTACAGGGCGACGCTCTCTCTCTCTCTGTGACTGTGTGTTTCCTGGGTGAGAGAGCGCCTTTTCGTTGTTGTTGTTGTTGTTGTGCTAAGCTAACAGGCTGAATGCTACAAGCATAGCTCTAAAGAATGTAGCATCATGGGCAGTGTAGTCCGTGTTGCAGGGAGAATGGACTGCCATACACGTTATGTGTCTGTGAGCGCGAGGAGGGAGAAAAAGGGGAGTGGAAAGGTACGAGTTGTCATCGAGCAAAAACAGGAGCTGGAAACATGTAAATATAATAATAACCACTGCAGCCAAGAAGAGTGCCTGACGAGCCCAGTTGTAAGTAAGCTATTAAGACTCGACTGTACACCGTGTTCCTGTTTTCCTCCGAAAACAATAAGTTCCGTTGGAGCAGCCTTTCAACGCCTCTCTCTGTCTCTGCTAGCAAAGTTGACCCAGACAACAAAGTAAAGCTATTTTTCGGCTACGAGCCGACAGGGACCCCGCCGTATTAGTCAGAGGTCCCTTTACTACAGTTCGGAGTCGCGGACCTTCAGTAATAGTAATAAATCACACAGCAATAGTACATTCACGTTGTTGTAAAAAGCATGATAATATATTAAGTAATCCAAAGTATTCAGAATACGTTACTGTCATTGAGTAACGTAACGGAATACGTTACAGAATACATTTTGGGGCGTGTATTCTGTATTCTGTAATGGAATACATTTTAAAAGTAACCTTCCCAACACTGGCGACAGGTGTGATGACGAGCACAGGTGCGTGGGCCGGGGGCGGGAGCCCACAGTGAGCACCGCTGCGGCAGGGGGAAGAGAGAGAGAACAAAAACGTGTTTCTAACACGGACTCAGCCGGTGAGGCACCGGGGCCGTGACAGAAATAGAGGAAAACCATTTATTTAACTGATGTAAACCTAATGTTTCAGATCTATCTAAATAAACAGGACAGCAGCTGCGTCTTAGGTTTCTGTGGCGTTTCAGGCTTCTTGCCTCTGTTGTGTTTTAATTGCAGTGACTTTCATAAAACTTGGGCCCGTGTGAGATAAGCCAACAACACGGAAACATAAACCTAAACTAAAAACATACCTGTCATGACTGAAACTGAAACATGACTGAAATGGGGGAAAAGAACTCAAAATAACATTTTAATTATGTATATTTATTAAATATATATGAAATATAATACCCTGCTGTTTGCTTTTAAAAGCTACAAACACCTGTTCACAGTATTTACGTTGTGTCCCACAGTCCCACAGGAACACTGGTTTTCTGCTCATTTGAATATCTGGAAAACAAATAACTGGGATTGACTGCTCACTGCATGGTTCATGTGGGCTTTAATTCACCCTGTAAAGCCGAGTGTATCATAGTTAAGTTTGTGAGACTTCAACATCATCAGTGTGATTTTTTTCCCCTAAATTAAGTGGACAATATGTTTTATGCAATAAGTTGCAAAATGAAAAAGTAAAAAAAACAAAAAATAAATAAACAATCTTAATGTTTAATAAACATTCAGTTTCCCCAAAATTCAGATTTTCTGGTAATTATTTTATGGTTCAGACTTTAAAAGGTTAAGGAGGATATGTTACATAAACTTCATAGTGTGCATCCATGCAGGTGCTTATCCGGGCCTGTTTCTCTGAAGCAGCAGACTAAGCAGGCCTCGGCCTCCCTCTCCCTCCTCACCTCCTCCTGGTGGGAGCCAGTCGAGAAATGTAATCTATGCCTTCTCTTTTTATCAGAAGTTCATTTTCAACACTTACATAGAAACGTAGCTCGAAAAGTAAATCAGCAGATTTTGTTTTCATG